AGCATTAGACCGCTGGGTTAAATACAAGCTAGTCAATGTCTGATGGGTCCATAGACCATGCAGAAGTTATTTGAATCTCTATCAGATAAAAATCCTCTGGATGAATTAACCTCTGTCCTTATAGAGTTGTAAATAGCCCAGGCAATAGGAAGTCAAGCCCAGCACCAACAACAACAAATCCACAAAACACCTACTTATCTTTTTGCTTATTTCCAAAGCTCATTTTACGATGTGAGAGAAGGAAATGGGAAAGAAAGTGGGCTGGGTTTCCTGCCCCTTGCTCTCTGCTCCAGACCAGTAACTCAGTTCTATCTATCTATTCACATTTTGAAAAGATGTTTCTTAATTTCAACCTGGGGCCAACACTGAGGTGTGTCAGTTGTTCTAACGGAATGGACGGGGCCAAGTGATATCGACTTGCTGTTAATTACCCTAAGTAGCCCCTCAGTCCTGTGATCTTCAGGCCTGGGGTCTCTCTGGGAGTCTGCAGGGAGGAACACATCACTCCGTGGCTGCAGCCTTATTCCGTGCCTGTGTTCTAGGCTGCAGCCTTCTCTACCCTGAGGTACCCATCAACTCAAGGCCATAGACTCTCCATCCTTCCGAAGGCCATCAAAGACTTTGGTCTGTTGTTGGTGCCATCTCTCCTGTTCACAGTGTAGTTTGGACTCAATTCCATTGTATACTTTTTTCACTCATTTCAGTAGAATTTAAAGAGGAAGGTTAGTAGGTGCTGGGACTCAGCCCACTACTTTTAGATGGAACTTTAATATCTTTTAAAACCAAATGCATTGCTACCAACAAGTTCTTTCTTATCCCTTTAGGTATTTCAGAATAAGAATCACTCTTCTGTGTTATACTACATTATATTTCCCAAAGACTTCAAGCAGTTAAGAGTATTTGTTCTCGCCCTGGCCAGTTTGGCTCAGTGGTTAGAGCGTCAGCCTGTGGTCCAGAGAGGCCCAGGTTCGGTTCCCGCTAAGGGCACATACCTTGGTTGCAGTTTGTCCCCAGCCCTGGTTGGGTTGTGCGGGTGGCAGCCACTCGATGTGTCCCTTTCATGTCGATGTTTCTCTCTCTCTCTCTCTCTCTCCCTCCCTCCCTCCCTCCCTCCTACACTATATGAACAAAAAATGGAAAAATGTCCTCAGGTGAGGATAAAAAAAAAATGCAGAAACAATAAAAACGAGTATTTGATCTCAAACCACTATTGTTTTGAATTCTCATGATTCCAGTTTTCATCTTTTGCCCTCACTTTTACGGATTGCCACTCTTATGGTACTGCCCTGTACTTTCCTTCTAACGGGCTGTTTCTGGTGTGTAGTAGATTATCCATAAAGCAAAAGTCAATAAACTTTGAGTGTTTTGAGAAGACAGTCTTTTAAACAACATATAAACTTTAGGACTTGAATTTTGTGACATCTATTGTGACAGGGCTGAGGTCCTTTATCATCACTGATTTGTGTTTATTTTCAGATAGTTGAAAGCCACCAGATAAAGTGAACTCTGACCAGGTCTTACAGATTTAGTATCTTCATTAGGGTGCTATTTATATTCCTAGTGTTAATACTAATTATGTTTTTTCTTTAGCCATCACTGCCTGTCAATGTATCAATATATTATAAATTATTTCACATAAAGACCATTTATGACCAGGATACAATGTTACACTGAAGTTATGCATAGTCAATAGTTTATTTATTAATATGATCTATTAGTAAATGTGCCAATTGTTTATTTTTTCCCTATTTTTAGTCTGTCTGTTTCTAATCCTCACCCGAGAATATGTTTTTACTGATTTTTAGAGAGAGGGGAAGGGGAAGGGAGAGAGAGAGAAACATTGATGTGAGAGAGAAACATCAATCGGTTGCCTCCCATATGCGCCCTAACTGGGAATCGAAAATGCAACCTTTTTGGTGTATGGGACACTGCTCCAACCAACTAAGCCACTTGGCCAGGGCCTCCTGTTTTTACTTTTAACACATAAAATAGTAACCCTAAAAGAAGCTCATAAACTACAAAAATCAATACTCCTAGACTCAACACAGTCATTTCTTAGGAAGAAAATTTATTTCACATTGTGAATGCAAATTTTAGTAACAGTTTTATTGAAGTCACGCTTCTAGGACTGTTTTCAAAGCTTTATTTCAACTACTCAAGATAAAGCATTATTTATCGGTATATGATATTTCAAAATGTCACAGGTGAGAAACCATTTACCAAAAGGTAACACATTTGTTTAATTTCATTAGTTACAAGTGAACTGGTGGAAAAGTCATTATTTTAGGTGTGTATGATATTTCTACAAAGATATCCAAGTTGCAGGGATGATCAGAAATGGGTATAGCTATAGAGAGATCCCAGGTGAACCAAGGGATTACCTCTGGGGGCCCATTGGGCCCACTGACCCTACTCCACAAACTTAAAACAACAAAAGCTTTTATTTCTATTTTTATTTTTATTTTTTTCACTTACAAAAGATAGGCCATGTTTATTTAGGGTTACAAGCAGCTGACTCACTCATTGTGACTCAAACCACAAGAAGCCATTTCTGAGTCCCAGAGCTGGGCCAGGGTGGTAGGAGTGCTGCGCAGGCCCATTCACAGGTTTACGAGCTTCTCATTGAGGGCGATCTGTGACTGTGTGAGATTGGCCAGGTAGGTCACCATCAGCAGGTCATTGATGTTACTGTTGAGCATGGTCTCGAAGTCCTCAGGAACTATCTTGGGTACTTGGTTAACCAGAGTCATCACAAAGCGGCCCACAGTATTGTCAGCTGACACCTTTCCAGACAGTACATCTTCCGCGTACTGCAACACTGTGCTGAGGGCATCCTGGATGCGAGCCGAGGACCCTGCTACCTGCTGCAAGTCACTCGAGAGTCCAATCACCCGGTTGGAACTAAAACAGGTCTTCATGATCAGGTCAACTCCGATGCGCTCAGTGTCGTAATACGCATATTTCACTGTGAGAGGTGTGAACACCACCCCCATGGTCCTCCCAGGGACGCCCATTAGAGTGCTGACATAGGCCTTGATGCTCATGCGGCCGTTCTGGAGGCTCGTGTCCACAGTGAGGTGGATGGGGTTAGGAGCTTCCCGGCTGTAGTACTCGTGGATCAGCACAGAGTGCTCTGTGATGTCGTGGCCTGTAGCATACCAGCCCAGGATGAGCTCATTTGGAGAGACTTTCTTGTGCAATTCATACATGTTCTTAGCAAACTCCATGTCAACAGCCACCTCATCTTCTGACTCATTGTGCGGCACTGAGAAGCAATTGGTGACTTCCACTGAGTGCTTGTCAACGGTCCCCAGCAGCGTTCCGATAACTCGGGCAGCACCCTCGTTGCGTCGCTCGTAGCTGTCCACGATGGAGGCCAAAATGACCGGGTGCAGCCGGACCACGCGGCCGCGGGGGAAGGGGCCTGGCAGAGCGGGACCAGCCAGCGCCTGCGCCGAGGTCTGCGCCGGGGCGGGCGCGGAGGCCGGGGTCTGGCCTGGAGTCGCGGTCGCAGCCGCCGCTGCCACGGGATCTGGGGATGCGGCTGGCGCTGGACCCGGCGGTGGAGCTGGAGCTGGAGCCAGCGCTGGAGCCGAGGCTGGGGCCGGGTCTGGGGCTGAGGCTGGGGCCGCAGCCGGGGCCGGAGTGGGCGAAGGAACACTCGCCGGTCCTGCCGGTGTGGCCATCTTGTCGAGAGAGCCAAAAGCTTTTAATTCATGGTGTGCCTTTAATTCATAAGTGGTTCATGAATACTGAGAACCAAATGCCATCTGTGCTTGGGATGAAATGCAGGGACTGTGCTGACAGACGACTTGGGGAACACACCCATCGAGGAAGGTCCTGACCATTTTGAGTAAGGGAGCAGTGTTGGGGAATAGAATTTTATGTCTAGTGATCAGCAAGGTTGGAAAGAGCTGGTAGTTTCTGAGAGAGGAAACCTCTCTTGATAGCTTTAGTATTGTATTGTGGGTTGGAAACAGCTAAGTAAAGAAACCAATCCCTGAAGACAAGTTAAATGTTTTTAAGTGAATCCACACAGTGAAATAGTAACTCTAAATAACCAACATTTGCAAAACGACCTTTTATTGTATTATATGAATACCATTCTCTTTTTGCCTGATAATTAGAGCTGTGTAGGTCTAGTAATTAGATGAGTAATTCAGATCCAGCCCAATATGGCCACTCAATAAAATTTTTGCTACAGACATCATAACCAAGAATGAGACAAAAAAAATTCCCTGGGTCATATGTCTAGGATCCAAGGAAAAGTAGATGGCAGCCCCACAGATAGGAACAACAGAATCTCCTTCCTTAATACTTGTGTTTTAAGGAAAAGGGATGTACATAGAGTTTTAACATTGGAAGAAGCTATCAAGTTCCTTCATTTCTACAGACTTCTGAGGCTCAGTGGTTTGCCTAAGTTTCAACGGGTACCTGGTACCCAGTTTGCTTTACTAATCAATTAGTGATTTATTGTGCTCTGCTCATAATTCCCACTTGTTGCTACTTAGACATATTTCTTGAGTTCACATTCATTAAGCTATGAGACTAGCCAAGATGACCAGTTCTCAGTTTGCTTGGCCTGAGCCTGGCATTTACATACGCTGAAATCCTGCCGGTTTTTCTGGGCAACACATAATGAACAGTTGGGTCACATCAGGAAGGTCCTTCTGAAGAGATGATTAATAGTTTCAGAGTCTGAAAAAACAACTCAAAGCTAAGCCTTCCTCCTCCTTCGTGTCTCACAATAGCCACTCCTTGTGTGATGTCCTGCTCGACTTCTCACTTTCAAGGAACTCAAATGCTCTTTGGTTGTATCAGCAAACATGAAGTTGGACTGAGTCAACACGTGTCTGATTTTATTTTGTGATCGCCAACCAAGTTTATCCTTTGCCATTTGCTGAATCTTTAGCTTGAAATGCTGTATAAAAGTGAGCAGCTCAGTGCTGATATGAATGAGTTGATGTTTGTGGAGCATCTTACACAATGTCATCTCTGTGCTTGGCATCAAGCAAGCCTTCCAAACAGTATAGATTATTTTGATATCATCGGGGGTTCAGACATGCTGGTAGAATCTTCCTTCTTGGGGGCAATGATTAGATTAATGCTATTCTTTTTGGGAGATGAACTCTTGTCCCATGAACTGTCACCTGCACAAGAGTTAAATAAACTGTCTTGTGTATGTGAAAGGGTTGGAATGCGTGTTCAAGAAACCAGCCTTGTTTAAGTCCCTCTACCACTGTGAGTAGTGTAGGGTCAGTTTACAAAACTGTTTGCTTATACTCTTTTAAGATTTGGCCCTGCTTATTTGGGGTTAGATGTGAGTTTTCAAGCAGCTCATAGTCATCCTGTATGGTGGGGAGATTTTGCCTCATGTCTTGGGTGACCTTTTGGACCTGAATACCAGTCCTGTTCTTTGGAGAAACTCTCTGGCCTCGGTATGCCTGAGCCTGGCGTTTACAGATGCCAAACTTACTGAGCAGGATAAATACATCCCGCTGGAAGGTCTTGGTGAAAATAGCATAGAGAAATGGATTGGCACAGGAGTTAAGGGGATAGAAAAGAACCAGCAAAATTTTGGAGTTGGTAACAGTGATAAGAGGCTTGTTCATAAGTGCCGAGAGAGCATAAAATGAGATGGGGGCCATACACATGAAGTCAGTGAAGATCAAGACAGCCATCCTTTTGGCAATTTTGGTGTCTTTGTCCCCTGGGTTGTACTGGGGATTTCGGACTGTGATATAGATCTTCACATAACAGAAGCAGACGATGATAAAGGCGACGATGTTGAGCAACAAAACCAGGATAATATATGCCAGGGCAAGAGGGGTCTCGGTGTCCATGGGCAGGCAGATGCTGACCTTGGCGTAGCTGCTGATTCCCACCAAAGGGAGCAGGGCGAGCAGGAAGCAGCAGACCCAGCCCCCAACCATGATGGCATATGCATGCCTGAGGCGGATTTTCCGGTCCAGGCGCATGGCGAAGGTGATGGCGTACCAGCGCTCCAGGGTGATGACCGTCAGTGTGTACACTGACAACTCACTAGCAAAGACGGTGAAGAAACCAGCCGTGTTGCACCCGGGGCCTGTCTGCCAGTCGATGGCATGGTTGTAGTACTCAGAATGAGTGTAGAGGTCTACAGAGGCGATAAGGAGTAAATACAACCCCATGCAGAAATCTGCGAAGGCCAAGTTGCACATGAGAAAGCGTGGGACGGTCAGTTTGTAGTGGCTGGTGAGGAGGATGACCAGGACAAAGACGTTGCCCAAGACAGCCAGCAGGCTAACAAACCACACCACAATTCTCAGGAACTTGTAGCCCATGATGTCTTCACAGGGGTTGAACTCATCTGGCTTGGGGTTACACACCATGTCTTCACTGCCCCCACACACGGTGTAGTCATAATGGCTGTCAAAGGCTTGTAGGGTCTCTTCCTGTGGGTTTTTGAGCTTCTCGCCAAAACCAATGATCTCATCTTCTTGTTCTTCAAAGAAGATGTAATAATGAGGGTGCGTATCCTGGAACGTGGAGTCTTCCTTGTACTCAGCACTGTGGTCACCTGGATCTTCTTCATATTCCTGGTAGAAGGGACCATTCAAAACGTTCACAGATCTTCTCTGACGCAGGCTCCGAATGCTGCTCTCATTACACATTAAGGACTCAAGGATTCTGCAAGGCAACAGAAATAAGTCGCTACTTGCTAAAATCCCACTCATGGCCCCCACAACATGCAGCAAAATATGCAGAATACTTACTATGATCTACATGACTCTACAAGATTCTACATGATCTGGTCAGGCCTGTCTCTCCGACGTCATTTCCTATCATCCTCCCCTTCCCTACTATGCTCCAGTGACATTGGCCCTTATTTCTCCTCTAGAACCAATTCCAGAACAGTAGTGAGAAAAAACAAACAAACAAACAGCATGGACGCTGGAGCCAGTCTGCCTAGATCAGGACCTGGCTCTACTATTTACTGTTTCACCTCAGGCAGGTCTATGAACCTTGGTTTATCCCATTTTAAAAATGGAATGATCAAAGTATTTCATATAGGGCTGTTAAAGGATATTAGATGAGTGTATCTGTTTAAAGCTCTTATATAGCACCTGGAACGTGGTTCGTGTCATATATGTGTTGGTTATTGTTATAATTCCTATTCAGAGTGTTAGAACACTATTTTCCCTTTGCCTGGAAAACTCATGACTGCTTCTACTCATTATTCAATTTTAAACTCAAATGTCCCTTTGTCAGAAGGGGCTTCCCTGATCTCCTTAAATAAATTATCCTACCCTTGTGTTTATTTCCTTCATAGCATTAACTGATACCTTATTTGTTTGCTTGTTTATTTTCTGATTTCCCCTACTGGAATGTAAATAAAATACTATATATTTTTTTTGTTAATCCTCATCCAAGGTTATTTTTTCCATTGATTTTTTTTTTTCTTTTTTAGAGATAGTGGAAGGAAGGGAGGAAGTGGGAGAGAGAGAGACAGCGATGTGAGATAGAGACATTAATTGGTAGCCTCTTGCACAATGCCAACTGGGGCCGGGGATCGTACCTGCAACTGAGGTTTATGCTCTTGACCAGGAATTAAAACCACCACTCTTTGGTCCACAGTCCAATGCTCTATCCACTGAGCCAAACTGGCCATGGCTGAAATACTCTTATCTGTTCTATTCATTGCTGTGGATAAGACAGTGCCAGGCACATAGTAGTTGCTCAATAAATATTTATTAAACAAATGAATAATGGACAGTGGCATGCAGGCATGCTCATGGAAGTAAGACTTAGTTTATTGCTAGCCTACCAGACTGACCTCAGAAGAGATTCTTTAACTTGCTGAGCAGATGTTAATTCATATATTGGGATAAAATCCAATGAGCTGCCTATTCCAAACTGTTTGGAAGTTAATGGGAAATCTGTACCCTGCCCTTGGAGTCCACTAGCTTCCCACCCATCCCTCATCCCGTCCTACTCTGGGCCACACGGTATCAGTCTAGAGCCCCTGTCACCATCCCCACCCCTACTCCTAGTTTTCTGCAGGTGTTATGCCCACACTGGCCTTTGCAAAGCTGCTCAATGTTTCCATTTGCTTCTGCCCCACTACTAGATCCCAGTTTACTTCTGAATGCAACTGTGAGTGCAGAAAGTCAGCCAGTAGATATTGTTTAGTGACAGAGAGGATGAATAAGCTATCAGTGACGACGGTGTTAGAACGGGATTGCATGAGACAGAGGGAGAATAATGCAGAGTAAAAGGTTAGATGAAGACAAGATCCAGAGAAAGCATGGAGAGAAAAAGGCGGCCATCCCTCCTTTTCAGCCTTGCAAGCAGCCTAATCATCAACCAATACACACAGAGCTTAGAGTAGTCCAGGTCATTGTGATAGGTATTTTCTACTCAGTTTCTCATGTAATCGTCTCAAACCCATCATGAATGATAGCATTATGATCGCCATTCACAGAGGCTTGGGGAGGTTACGTAAGTAGGCTGGTGTAACATAGCTAGGAGGTGGCAGAGATGGGGTACACACACAGTTGACTCCAGAGTCCACACATATGTAATCAGCAAGCTGTGACCTCTGCAAAGCCCTAATTGACCAGGTAACCTAATTGCTTGTATTTCTAAGTTTGTCCTCAGAATTGTGGCATCTAATGTGTGTTGCATCTGGTGGCCAAGGAACCATGTAATATAATCTCAATGAGGTTCTACAAGATCTGGTTGTTCCTGTCTCTCTGTTACCTCCTATTCTGCTCCCCTCCCCTGCTGTGATCCATTGACCTTGGCCTTATTTCTCACCTGCAATCACACTGAGTCTGAAGTCAGTGTGCCCCATGGATTTCATGTTCCTTATGCATGCTTCCCATTTGTCCCACATGGTTTTCAAACCACAAAGCTTCTTCCCCAAACCCAGAAAGTAATTAAACTTTTCCCAAAGCCTTCTGTCGCTTATTCCAGACACTTGCCACTTACCCTCTGATTTTCTTCTGATTCTTAAAGGCACAGCAGTGGCTCGGATAAGAAAGGTCAGCCCGTGTGAGGTGCAAGAAACTCATAGAAATTGGAAGTTTCTTTAGAGTCCAAGTGTTTCTTGCTATCAATTCTCTGAGGTGCTCCAGGCCTTTGGATGGCAGGGCAGTGACACTGGTGTAAGAGACGTCCCTGGAGAAAGCAGAGTAACACAGAGAGGCGGTGAGTAGGCAGAGCCTAGCTCTTGGCCAGAAAGTCAAACAGGCCTGAGATTCAGAGAGAGATTACAGGCTCCTTTCTGCTGCTGAGTATGCACTCCGAGTTCTTTGTATACAGACCCCTGGTCTAAGACAACACATTAGGCTTCTAAATGTTCGGTGACCAGGCAATCCCATTTTTTTTTTTATCCTCACCTGAGGACATTTTTCCATTTTTTTGTTCAGATAGAGTGGGAGGGAGGGAGAGAGGGAGAGAGAGAGAGAGAGAAAGAGAGAGAGAGAGAGAGAAAAGGAGAAACATCAACGTGAAAGGGACACATCGAGTGGCTGCCTCCCGCACAACCCCAATCGGGGCCGGGGACAAACTGCAACCGAGGAATGTGCCCTTAGTGGGAACCGAACCCGGGTCTCTCTGGACTGCGGGCCAACGCTCTAACCGCTGAGCCACACCAGCCAGGGCGGCACTCCCATTTTTATTGCTCGGAACACCAGTATCCATCAGTACAAATGACTATTTAGCAGACATTTTGTTTTCTCCATCGCGATACATACAAACTCTTGGAATCAGAGACTGACATCAATTCTACCCTGGACAGCTACACCTATACTATGGAAGGGTCTCAAGAGGCAAGAGAAATATATTTGAACAGGTTCAAAGGGGCCAGAATGGTTCTCAGTGTCTGTGGGGACTAGGGTGTGGAGTTAATACACTGCTCAATGACACGGATCAACAGCAGTACCATGACAGTCCCCTAAAGATGCAGAACTTGGGAGTCATACCAGAGCCACGGTTAATTCATGACTCAGAACAGCTTCCCCATGGTTTCTTGAGAAGGCTGTACATGTGTTCCTGGAAAGAAAACTTTAGTATTTACATTAATAATCTGAAATAAGCTTCAAGTCCCTCTGAACACAATGGGGAAGGCGCCGAGTGTAGATATTGGTGTTACTGGCGTAGAATTAATGTGTGGCCTTTCCTGTGACATGTCCCATCCTTTTCAAGTCCCAGAGGGTCCAGGTTACATGTCTTGCTCCATCATTTTTAACTGCATTGACTAATAGCTTCCAATAAGAACAGGAGTATTTAATCTAATATTATATTTTATCAATTAAAATATTTTCTATCTATTCCTTATATTGTACCATTTTTTACAATTACATTTAAAAATATTTTATGTAATTGTAGTGTCTGATTAGCAAGTAGATTCCAGTGTTTACTTCTTTCTCCATATCATTGGACGTGGACTTGGCTGGGATTTACATTCTCAGGGTTCAAGGCTGCAAGAACGTACCACTCAGTTATTACAACCGTGAAGCTCATGTATTAACCCCGTTCTCACCAGAACTGTGATTCTCAGACAAGGGTGCTGTGTTGCTATTTTGTTTTGTATTTAACTTAAAGATTCTATAATTCAGTATTTCTCCAACTTGTCTGGTGGTAAGAATTACCCTTGTTATTGTCTGATTCCCAGGTGATTTTTAACATTCAGCAAGTACATTTGGGGGGAAAAACTGGCCTAAACAACCAACGTTTCAGTTAGTGAGAGAGCTGAGGGCTTTTGGAGCAACCTTGGGCACAGGTGTGCAGTAGAGGAAGCTGGCTTTGCGTCCCCCGACCAGGCCGTGCTCTCTTCACGGTGTGCCCATCTTTCCGCCTCCAGTGTTCTGGAAGCAACTTATGTGTCCCTTCCTCCAGTGATGCTTTCTGTCAGTGCTGGATACACTGATTTTGTGTGTTCATTTGAAAGACTTTATCCTCCCAAGTAATGTGTGTGTATTTTATTAGATATGTCTTTTTTTTTTCTTTTTATCCTCACCCAAGGACATTTTTTTTGCATTTATCTTTAGATAGAGTGGGAGGGAGAGAGGGGGGGAAGAGAGAGAGAAACATCGATGTGAGAGAAACACATCAACTGGTTGCCATCCACACGACCCCAACCAGGCTGCGGACAAACTGCAACCAAGGTACATGCCCTTAGCGGGAACTGAACCTGGGACTCTCTGGTTCGCGGGCCAATGCTCTAACCGCTGAGCCAAACTGGCCAGAGCGATATGTCTTTTTTTTTTTTTAATTTAATTAATTTGTTTACGTTTCAATTACAGTTTACATTCACTATCATCCTGTGTTAGTTTCAGGTGTACAGCATAGTGGTTAGAAAATCATGTACTTTACAGGGTGTTCCCCCCAATGTTTCAAGCACCCACCTGGCCCTGTATACAGTTATCACGATATTATTGACCGTATTCCCTAAGCTGTAATCTACATCTCTGTGACTATTCTGCAACTACCAATTTGTACTTCTTAGTCCCTTCACCGTTTTCACTCAGTCTCCAAACCCGCCTCCCCTCTGACAAGTGTCAGTCTGTTCTCTTTTTAACAGATGTGTCTTGAGAGATCACGTTCATCACCATTCCAGCTATTGCCTGAAAAAACATCCCCAAAACTAAGAGGCACCAAACAACAATCCTTTTATTCTAAGAAGAACTCGTGTGGGTCAGGGATTTGAACAGGACACGGCGAGACAGACTCGTCTCTGCTCTGTGGTGTCTGGGGCTCAGCTGGGAAGACTCGAAGGCTGAGCGACTCCGTGGCTGGGCCTGAATTCTCCACAGACTCCTTCCCCTGCCCGTTTGGGCCAGCACCGGGATGATTCAAAGCTGCTCCGTGGACTGATGATGTGGCCTCCCTGTGGCTGGGGCTTCTCACATCTTGGCAGCCAGGTTTTGAAAGGGAGCATCTGGAGAGCACTTCAGGAGAACTGGTAGATTCACAGGCAGGGGACACAGAACCCATCTCTCAGTGGGACGAGTGACGAAGGCGTTGATGCCTACTTTTAAAACTGCCACAGGGGTCTAAGTGGCGGGGCTTCCACTGAGGCAGATACTTGGTGAAAACTGCTAACTCGCCGCTCTACAAGGCAGTTTCCAGTTCAACCACCACCCTGGACCAGTGTCAAAATCACCTGCAATACAGACTCCTGAGCTACCCCTGGCCACCTGAAGTATATTCTCTGACGGTGGGGCCCAGGAAACTGCACTGTTTAAAATGCTCTGTAGATCATTCAGAATCTCATTTGAATTCTCAGCAAGTAGATACTAAAGTTCAGACAGACAAACAAGGCATGTTGTGTCCAAAGACTCAGCAAACCGAGGGTGGAACCGCAGCGGTCATTTGGGTTTAGAGTTCTTAGGTTCCGTGTCCTAAAGGCCTTTCTCTACACCCATCTTCAGGTCTCTGGAGTCTGTGAACACAGATCCAGGCCCGGCAGCCACCCTCAGGGACTTGTTTTGCAATCTGGGAGGGAAGGATTTATTCTACGGTCTGACCAAGTACCTGCAGTGAGTGTAACCCAGGTGGCCTCTAGTTGGGTCTCAGTGAGGGAGCCTGGCAGGCGTGGAAAAAGCAGGTGAGGGAAAATGTGTATAAACCTTATGACAGGAACATATGTAACAAAATGGGTCCTTGGCATATAGTAGTGTTTAATGAATGTTAATTCCCTCCTTGCCTCAATTTGGAGTTTGTTGAGCTCAAGGGAGAAACAAGGAACCCCACAAATATAGCCCTAGCCAAGGTTTTGACTTGTATATCCAACTGCTTATGTAACATCTCCACCTGGATGCCCCCCAGGCATCTCCAATTTAACAGTCTATCCCAAAATCTCGATCGCCTCCCCCCTCCCCATCCTGCTCCTTCTCCACTTAATCTGGCAAAAGACCTTTGGATTTGAAATCCACAAAACTCCTAAATCCCTCTCTGGGTTAAACTAACAGGACCTCTTGCTGCAATAGCTCTCAGGTCCACCTTTGATCTCTCCCAATCCATTCTCCACACAGCAGGCAGAGTAGTCAGAACACATCAGGTGAGAAAGTTCACACTCCTGCTCAGAACTTTGGATGCACCCTGGATAACATCTGCTGTGCCCTTCAAGGTCTGTAAATCTGGCCTTGCCTCCCTCTCCAATCTCATCTCAGGGGCCCAAGGCCACTTACCAAATCAGATTCTGCCTGGAGCTATTGTACTCCCCATGCCATGAGGCACTTGATGTAGCTCCAAGTACCCATTATGCCTGCTACTGTGAAGGTGCTGCCCTTTCCTGACACCGGCTACTCCACTCCAGCCCCAAGGCACTTACAGAGCCAGGTAAAAGGGACAACTGCTTTTTCCTCACCTTTTTTTTTTTTGCATTTAACCTCCCTTGCAGAGATCTGCAGTTTTAACCAGACAGTCTGGAAGGTAGGAGCTTCTGTATGCTTCCCAACTGATGTAGCAGAGCCTTCCGCTCAAAATAGCGCAGTGGAACGATTCTTCCCTCCAAGCCTACTGGTATTTCTTTATTTCCTAAATTCTGTCCACCCTCTTCCAGGGCTTGTATGCTCATAGAGTCTCTCTTGCCCTTGCCATAAATATTTACAGTAAAATGCAATCGGGTTAACCCCCTGGTCAGATGTCAGCTCAGCTGTATATACGTCTGCAGTCTCAAAGTTCTCATCGCTGCCACCTTGGTTTAGGTCTGAATTTCATTTCACCTGAGTTTTGCAAACACTTCCTGACTGGTCTCCCAGAAAGTCTACTAATCCCACTTTCAGACTTAGAACAGAATGTTCTTTCTAAAACGTGGACCTCATCATATGGCTCCCCAGTTTGAAACCCATGGTTTCTCAAATGTCTACAGAATGAAGTTCAAGCTTCTTAGAAGAGTACCCCCCACACGCACACATTTGTTTATCTTGGTTTCGATCTTTGGTTAGAAGCAATCTCTGCTAGTGATTCTTAAGCACATTCATGCTTAAGAGCAAGGCACGGACAAGCTGAGTGGGAGCTTGTCCACTGGCAGATTTTGCTTCAGGACAACTGTGTAGGGAGCTGGCCACTGTGCTGTTGGACCTAAAATGCCAATGTGGAGATCTTCTTAGGTTTAGCGTTTTTCAACTTCTTCAGAAGAGAGACCTCAAATCTCAGCCTAGAGGGGTTGT